AAAAAAAAAAAAAAGAGACAGAGTCTTTTTCTGTTACCCAGATTGGAGTACAGTGATGTGATGATGGCTCACTGCACCTCAAATCTCTGGGCTCAAATGATCCTACTGCCTCAGCCTCTCAAGTGGCTGGGACTATGGGCACTTGCCACCACACCCAGCTAATTTATTTATTCATTTTTTATTTGTAGAGATGGGGACTTGCTATGTTGCCCAGGCTGATCTCGAGCTCCTGGCCTCAAACGATCCTCCTACCTCAGCCTCCCAAAGTGCTATTAGAGTTACAGGCATGAGCTACTGTGCTCAGCCCATCTTACTTTTATAAATGGTGCTCATGTTGCTTGCATTATTTTAATTGCCTTTGATAGTAGTCCTGCGAGGTGGACAGTGCCAGTATTATCCCCAGTTTATAGATAACACTGTCCACCTCAGCAGACACCAGGTGAGGGTCCTCCAATTCAATGCCAACCTTGTCTACTTGGAGACAGTGTCTGATCCCACAGGGTGAGGGCTCGGTCCCCAAGACGCCCCACTCCCTTTTGCCAGTCAAAAGTCTGGACTTCTGGAACTTCTGGCCAACCAGTTGGGCTTCACACAATCCCCTCTCTGGGTTTGATTGGTTTGCTAGAGCAGTTCACAGAACTCTAGGAAACACATTGATTTTAAAGAATATTATGAAAGTGGAATGCGGTGGCTCAAGCCTGTAACCCCAGCACTTTGGGAGGTGGAGGCAAGAGGATTGCCTAAGCTCAGGAGTTTGAGACCAGCCTGAGCAACATGGCAAGACCTTGTCTCTACAATAAATCAAAACTTAGCCAGGTGTGGTAGCTTGTGCCTGTAGTTCCAGCTACTTGAAAGGCTGAGGTGGAAGGATCGCTGGAGCCCAGCAGGTCAAGGCTGTGGTGGCCATGAGCATGCCATTGCACGCCAGCCTGGGTGACAGAGTAAGACTCAGACTCGAAAAAATAATAATAATAATATTAGGGGCACAGTAGCTCATACCTGTAACCCTAACATTTTAGGAGGCCGAGGCAGGAGACTCACTTGAGCCCAGAAATTCAAGACTCACTTGGGCAATGTAGTGAGACCTTATCTCTACAAAAATTTTAAAATGCAATGAAATTAATTTTAAAAAATTTTTTTAAAGAATCCAGGTGAAGAGATATATAGGATGAGGGGTGGGAAGGAGAGCGAAGCTTCCGTGCTCTCCCTGTGCCAACACCCTTTAGGAACCTCTAGGCCATGTATTCAGCTGTTGGGAAGCTCCCCAAGCCCCAGATTTGTGGATCTTTATGGAGATTTCACTGGATAGGCCTGATCAACAGCCCAGCCGTGGAGAATGTGACTGGACTCAAGGGTGTGATCCAAACCCAGCAAGGCCTATCCATCCAGATGCCTCTAACCTCTCCATGCAACCTCCCTCCCTCCAGGGTGTAGGGGTAGGATGCTGTCTAGAACGAGGGTCTTATGATCAGCAACCAGGTTAAGGCCCACCTGGGTGGGTGAAGGGAAACAGAAGGCCAAAAAAAAAAAAGAATATTACAGGCCAGCCACAGTGACTCACACCTGTAACCCTAACACTTTAGGAGGCTGAGGCAGGAGACTCACTTGAGCTCAGAAATTCAAGACTAGCTTGGGCAATGTAGTGAGACCTTGTCTCTACAAAAATTTTAAAATGCAATGAATTAATTTAAAATTTTTTTTTAAAGAATCCAGGTGAAGAGATATATAGGATGAGGGGTGGGAAGGAGAACGAAGCTTCCGTGCTCTACCTGGGCCAACAACCTTTAGGAACCTCTAGGCCACGTATTCAGCTGTTGGGAAGCTCCCCAAGCCCCAGATTTGTGGATGTTTATGGAGATTTCACTGGATAGCCATGGAGAATGTGACTGAACACAAGGGTGTGATCCAAACCCAGCAAGACCTGTCCATCCAGATGCCTCTGGCCTCTCCATGCAGCCTCCCTCTCTCCAGGGTGTGGGGGCAGGACGCTGCCTGGAATGAAGGTCTTATGATCAGCAACCAGGTTAAGGCCCCCCTGGACGGGTGAAGGGAAACAGAAGGCCAGAGAGAGATTTTATTTTCTGGGCCTTCAAGTGCCCCAGCACTATAAACAGGAATATGGGAATTACGTGTCTGGAACTGTGGACAAAATTTCTTATATAAAAGATCCCAGCAGCAGCCTCAGTCCCAGCATTTCTTCCAAATCAAGTCCAAGTATGAGTGGGCACCTGGAGACAGTCCCCCGGGATGGCACCTCCTAATCTGACGACCTGTGAACTGAAGAGACACCATGGACAACAGTGAGCTAGAGACATAACAACCAGTCTACTCCTGGCCAAAACAAGGATCATGGCTGGGGCATGGCAGCAGCTCTGAAGTCTGGCGGGCCGGTGTGACTGTTCCTTCATCAGGATGCCGCCGTCCTCCTGGGCAGCGCTTCCTGGCTTCGGGTTTTCACCCGAGTCACTCTTCCTCTTCACAAGGAGTGAGCCCACTGCTGCAGCGTTGGTTTCCTCAGTCTGCCCTGTCTCCGGAAGCTCAAGAGTTCAGAGGCACTGGTGTTTTCTCTGTCCCTTGTCATTCTATCTGGTGTGATTCAAAACACTGATTTCTGGTGTATCTATCTTATAGATCTATCTTATCTCTGTATAGCTTGGCCACAGAGTACTAGGATCTGAGAGGGAATGTTCACATGACCTCAGGGTGGTCTCGTTCCAAGAAACCCAGGTAAAAGCTGAGCCTTGTCATCCATCATTTCTTCTGCATTCTGTTAGTTCCAAGTGATGTGCCAAGGCCAGCCCAGGTTCAGGGCCAGAAAGTCGGGTCCATCTCCCAGTGGAAGAGTCAAGGAATTTCCAGACGTCTCTAATTTATTACAGGAATCCCCTGCTCCAGGGCCCAAGGGTCTCCCGTTCATGTGTTCAGTTCCTTTCTCCAATGACAAGAACGCTGACTCCTGGGTTTATTAATCTGTTTCCCTCAATCCTCAAATACACTGGAAGTAATTTCAGAATTAGTAAATGATGCCACTGCAAAAAAGCTAACTCAAGTTCAGTATTTATTTACAACTTTTTTTGTCTTTTGTCTGAGAGTAATTGAAATAATGTGTTACAATGTGACTTGCTTTTTGGGGTTTTAAAATCTGTCTGAGAGTGGCTGCTGGCTATTGGAAATGGATTCTACTTGTATTTCATGTCAGTCCCCCTTCCCACTATGGGTTGTTTTTTTTTTTAATGGCAAAACATTAAAATATTTTCTTTGTCTTTAAATTGAAGTAGTTTTGCTTGGACATAGCTTTATTTTCCTTTATTTTGGGAAGCATGCTCAGGTCATGACTTTAATCTAAGTCCTGCTCCCCTGGGTCTTCCATCTCCAGGGGTTCCAGCTGTGTTTAGGCTGGACCTTCTTGACCTGTCTTCCCTGTCATTCTCTGACCCTTGTTACAACTTCTTTATCTCATTTTCATTCTGGTTGTTTTCATGCTTCTTATTTCTTCAATGACCCAAATTAGGATTTTATTCAAATATGTTCTTCTTTGCCATCCAGTTCTTTAGTTATAGTTAACAGTTTTTATTTCTGATGTGATTTTGTCTTTTTCTTCTATGTCTTTCCCAACCTCAGTCCATTTTGTGTCATTTTTTCTGGTTTGGTCTATTTCTGTCTTTAGATTTTGAACTTCTTACTCATGGTATGTTTCCCCTCCTAATAGCTCCAGATTTTTATTTGAGAGTATTTCATTCAGTTTGGAGTGTTGTGTTACAGTTTTTCTGCTTTATGGTCTGCTTTCAGGGAGGGAAATTTTAATGAGCCAAAGAGCTTTGATTCTCATTTCTGTTTTATTTTTATAGCAGCTTTATATAGATTAGAATTACTTATGCCTCTGCATTCTTGTGTGTGTGTGTGTGTGTGTGTGTGTGTGTGTGTGTGTGTGTGTGTGTGTGTGTGTGTGTACACGCATGCATGTGTAGAGACAAGGTCTTACCATGTTGTCTAGACTGACCTTGAACTCCTGGCCTCAAGTGATTCACTTGGCTTCCCAAAGTGCTGGGATTACAGGTGTGGGCCACCACCCAGCCAGGCCTCTGCATTTTTTGGACAGGGCAGCCATTTGGAATGGTTTGAGAATCCTGCTTCCAGAGTGTTCTCCTCTATTAGAGAAGCAAGTGTGGTTTCTTGAATAGATGATGGGTGGGACGGGAGAGTGTCCTTGGTCCTACAGGACTCCATATTTGATCCTGGTTTCCTTTTCTCTCACTGCTCAGTGTGCACACTCCCATCTATCTGTTCTCTCCCCCAGAGGCCTCACCGTTCCCATCTGTGTTGTTCTTAGAGGCTGTGTTGGGATATTCATCTTACATGGTCTCTGTCACTCAGCTGCTGGGAAGCTCACCGAATCATACCTTAGTGTCTCTTCTATAATGCCATGTGATGCTTTATCAATTGGTAGTGAGTGCGGTTATTTTTGTCACTTTCATTCTTTCATCTGATATTCTCTATGCTTATTTGCTAAGCTTTTTATTATAAACATTTTATAACAGAAGTAGTACACATACTTCACCGTTTTATTTATAAAACCCAGATGGAACAAATGCCAATATTTTATTTCTGATTTTTAGAAGAAGAAAAATTATCATTCATTGACACCTCCCATATATTATGTTTGGAAATACTTTTTTTGCTCATTTTGTTGCTTTTGAAGTTAACAATTTTAACTTCAGGAGCTTGAATAAAACTTTTCTTTGAAATACTGGTAGGTTTTAAAAGCATACTAAATTTTGAGGAATAATAAAATGCATATGTATAAAATATAACATTTTCAGGAGCTAATTACATTTTTGCAACTTAGATTTTATAGATTAAAAGTTAATTTTTAAGTGGCTGAGTCTTCAATAAAGCAAATCTCAGCGTGTGAATGCACCCTTTATTTTTGGTATTAAGTGCAGTGATCAGCTGAAATGGCTTGAAGCCTCAGCTCCATTTACCATCACTGCCTGTCCTTAAGTGGCCATGTTTCTGTCTAGTTGTTAGTTCAATTCCCAGGCTTCTGATGTGTGAGGGCTCAGGTGTCCCACAGACAGTGGCCAAGTTGTGGGCAGTTCTCTGCAGTGCACATTTTGGTCTCACATTCTGATGTTTCATCATAGATGCTGCTGCAGGAGAAGGCCGAGGCCCTGCAGGAGGAAGCGGAAGAGCTGCTGAGACCGCCATCTGACCTCCCCGGGGCCGTGGCTCCCAACAGAAAGCTGTGACGGCATCCCACGGGCATTTTCAAAGATTAATTATTATTTTTAACTTTTTTTTTGGAGTCGGCTCACTTTGTCACCTGGGCTGGAATGCAGTGGCACGATCATGGCCATTGCAGCCTCGACCTGCTGGATTCAGGTGATCCTTCTGCCTCAGCCGCCCGAGTAACTGGGATTACAGGTACACACCACCACATCCGGCTTTTTTTTTTGTAGAGATGAGTTCTCATCATGTTGCCCAGGCTGGTCTCAAAGCCCTCAGCTCAGGCAGTCCTCTCTCAGCCTCTCAAACTGCTGGGATTGCAGGCGTGAGCTACCGCACTCTGCCAAATATGAATTATTGATTGTACATATATTTTATTAAAGATTCCTTATACTTTATAATTGAAAAACTATGTTGAATTAGATGTTAAGCACGAAGGCTAATGTTTGAGTCACCTCTCGCCTATTCTTATGTAACCTCTCCGTGTTAATTCATCTTTTTTAATACGTGTGCGTTATCTGGCCACCTCAGAGCGAAACCCACTTCCTCAGCACATCCCTAGAGGCAGCAGCCATACCCTTCATCACTCCCTGCCCATTCCTCACATAAGATGGGATTGTTGGAAATCCCAGGGTTTTCCCTTGACTTCCAAACTCCCCACTGCCCAACTGCCTCACATTATTCCCAGTGCATGAAAATTGTCCTTAAAAAGCACCTGTACTTTTAAGGGTCACCCCAAAATGCTCAGATCCTGTCTCCTCTGAACTTACTCCAGGTTTCTCCTCCCCTGCACCCACACCTGGGAGCTTGTTCTTCGTCCTGTGAGCTTTGTGGCTTCATCATGCCGGTCTTTCTTTCTGCTATGCATTTATCATCTGGAGACTGAGCCTCATCTTTATATGCTACACAGCACCCAACACCCTTCATTGTACAAAGCAGTGACCTCAGGAAGAAGGAAGACCACCCAGAATTAACACTTGGAAGAGTTTCTTTAAACACAACTTAAATATTGCCTGTGCCCTCTCCTTTTTCAGAATTAACTAATTTTATCTTTACCACAGATAAAACAGGGACTATTATACCCATTTTACAGATGAGTAAACTGAGACACAGAGAAATTAACAAGTAACTTTCCCAAGGACATGTACTATTCACAGAGCAGAGATTCAGACTTGTGCAGCCCCAGTCTAACATCCACACATTTAATCATGAGTTGACGTCTTGGTAGATGTGTCACTTACTTCCTTCCTGAGTGTCCCTTACACCTGTCCTTGATTTTATCTTTAATTACACCCCATCATCCTTGCCCCACCCCCATCCTTACACAAGTCAGAGCATGGCATCTGATGCTCTGGTAAGCCCTTGGGCCTCACTGCACATGTTCATCTGCTGCAGCCAAGACTGTCCAGCAGCTGGCTCGCCTGTGGGCTGCGTGGGCTGGCCTCCAAGATGCGTTCATGCTGGGCCTTAGTCCAGCCTTCTGTTTTCTCAAGTCTAAAAACCCTGAGTTTACAAGTTTTCCCAAGTAAGGATCTGATTCTTGTCAGCCAGCGTAGATGAGACTGAGTTATAATTCAAGGTTAATTTATTAATTTAAGATTAGAGGTGAAGGGCAGGGAGAGGGGTTTCTTTCCAGGAACCTGTATCTACCATGTGGGACCAGCCCACACACACACACACACATCAGTAATTCTCCAGGTCAGTCTCGCCGGAAGCCTGTATCAAGTTTAATGGTGGGAGATTTGCCCTAAAAGATGTTAAATGGTAAAGAAACTGAAACAGTTTGGTTTTAGAAAAGTATCTCAGTAGGAACAAAGTGGAGAACTGAAGTAAATCCCAATACATTTAAGAATTTATGAGCATGATTTTTCAGTTTTGTGTGATGGAAACCCAAATGTCTCTGTATCTAACTTAAGCAGGACAGTTAGTGGCCACGTTCTCAACAGCACGCAGCAATGGAACTGGCTGTGGGACAACTAGAACTAGAGACTTAACCACTGAATACTCACTGACTAGTCACAACCTGCACTAAGTACTTGCCATCTCTCCTTGTCAGGTAGCTCTAGAATGACTTTTTTATTCTTTTTTTGAGTTGGAGTCTCACTCTGTCGCCCAGGCCGGAGTGCAGTGGCACGCTCAAGGCCACCTCAACTTCGACCTGCTAAACTCAGGTGTTCCTTCTGCCTCAGCTTTCCAAGTAGCTGGGACTACAGGCATGCACCACCATGCCCAGCTAATTTTTAAATTTATTGTAGAGACGATGTCTCGCCAAATTGCTCAGGCTGGTCTTGAGCCCCGGCTCAGGCAATCCTCTTGCCTCCACCTCCCAAAGTGCTGGGATTACGCGGTGAGCCATTGTACCTGGCTAGAATGACTTTCATACAACTTCCAATCCAAGCCAAAAGCTCTTTGGAGCCAACTCCAGTTAGAAAAATCCCTGGGAAGGCTTCTGATTCATCCAGCAAGGGTCCATTTCCTACCCCTGTGGCCAGGATATAGAGTTTTGTTTGGGTTTTGGTTTATCAGAAGAAGCCGGAGAAGGGGTGATAGAGAAACCATGGAGAAGACAGATAACTCAGTGAATGAAGGCCGAACATGTGGTTACCTGCCGTTTAGGAAAACATGCTGAATTTCTATGATCTCCTTGAACCAAATTAAGTTTTAGGTAAATTAAAGTTTCAAATGTGGAATTTTTGAAGGTGTCACCTGACGATACAGAAGCATCAAAAAATGTACCGTGGGTCCTTCCTATCAGGCTTCAAGACAGTCAAACGTCAGCAGTTCAGAGCAGTGTCAGGTTTTCCTTTTTAAAATCTCTCCAAGCTAGGAGCTGCTTGCCATTTCCAGGATGCTTAACTTCATCAAGGTCTTTTTTCAATACATTTAAGAATTTATGAGCATGATTTTTCAGTTTTGTGTGATGGAAACCCAAATGTATCTGTATCTAACTTAAGCAGAAGGGGACAGTTATTGGCCATGTTCTCAAACAGCAAGCAGCTCAAGGCTCAAGCACTGTCCTAGTTTCCTTTGCACTAAGCTCAACCACCAAAAATGGCTTTTGTCTTGAAGCATACCCAAGCATACACTTGTGGTCAAGTGTCAGCCTTCTCATACCCCACCACCTCTCAACCCACCTCCACACCGGTGCTCTTTCAGGAAGGACTGATGTGAGCCCCTCCTGGGCTTTCTTCTTTTACTTGTGAGAACTTTTCCACCAGCGTCACTGCAGCTTTTGAGCTTCATTGTGTTATGACAAGAAGTAACACCAAGATTAGGTAAGTATTGTCAGACCTGGTTTTCTTCAACAATTTCCAGTCATTTATAATCATATTGACAGATATATATTTTCTTCTGTTCCTTTCAATGATAAATAATAAGGATGACAATAAGCCACCATTTATTAAGGGCAATGATGATTTATAATGTTCCTGCTGTGAAAATGTAGGATCAGGATGTTATACAATGGACTCACTTAAAAGTTCCTGAAAGACATGAACACATAGGAGAAAAGACAAAGGGTTGAAGTTGTATTGTACCAGACTAAATAAAATGAGTAATTATTTTTCCTTTTTGTTTTTGTTTGTTGTGAGTCAGAGTCTCACTCTGTTGCCCAGGCTGGAGTGCAGTGGCACAATCATGGCCATCACAGCCTTGACCTCCTGGGCTCAGGCGATCCTTCCTCCTCACCTACTGAGTAGCTGGGACCATAGGTGCACACCACCAGGCCCAACTGATTTTTGGATTTTCGTAGAGAAAAAGTCTCGTTATGTCGTCCAGGCTGGTCTTGAACTCCTAGGCTCAAGCAATCCTTCTACCTCAGCCTCCCAAAGTGCTGGGATTACAGGTGTGGACCACCAGGCCCAGCTGATTTTTTTAGTTTTGTAGAGACAAAACTGGAGTGGTTACTTTACCGAGAGCCACACCAACCTAACACCAAAATATGGTACCACTATTGTCTGCCACTCACTGCACACCAACAAGGAATGCAGTACCACCTGTCAGGGAGGTGTAGCCGTCCCACTGAGCTGGTGGCTTGGAGCTTTCTTGTGTCCCTTATTACTGTGTGGAGAATGTTCTGAAGCAAATTTGGAGGCAACATGATGAATGAGCATGGCTCACATCCTTCATTTTTCACCATTAAAATAGTCTTTTAATCCTTTTCTTCGGTAGCTACCTAAGTGGTGGGTGGCCATTTGGAGTACTTCTTGAAGATGTGGTCATCATCTTTCAAGAGAACCCAAATGTGCCATGTATGAAAATGTTGCTATTTAGAATAAGTGTCGCTCTGGAGGATCATATTAGAACATTAAATTTCCCACAATGAGCTGTCTGCAAATAGTCGGCAGCACATATGTGCTTTTGTCTAAGGTCTGTGTATAAGCAGGTGAGTAACCTGGCGGCACAAGTCAAAACACATCAGTAGTATGTGCTATTTACAGTCAGTCCCTGACACATTGGAGTGGAGGTTTTGTGTCTTCGGAGATAATTCACCTGCTTTTGCTATTTTAAGAGTAACTCAGGCCGGGTGCGGTGGCTCAAGCCTATAATCCCAGCACTTTGAGCGGCTGTGATGAGCAGATTGCCTGAGCCCACGGGTTCAAGAACAGCCTAGGTAACTTGTTAAAACCTCATCTCCACAATAAAAAAAAAATTAGCCGGGTGTGGTAGCATGTACCTGTAGTTCCAGCTACTTGGAAAGCTGAGGCAGCAAAGTGAGACTCCAACTCAGAAAAAAAAAAAGAGTAACTTAAATACATGAGGTACTGGCATGGTAGGGAGAAAAGCCCACCCCAGACACCCGCCTCCTGATCCTTAGAACCAGGAAATGTTATGTCACAGGGTGAGGGAATTACAGGGGCCAGTGGAATTCAAGTTGTTCTTCAGCCATCCTCCAGATGAAGAGACCAACTGAATCATCTGAGCGGGCCCAGTGTCGTCACAGGGGTCCTTATAGTGAAGGAGACAGAAGAGTCCGTCAGAGTGGCGGGATGTGAGGAGATGGGAAGGACTGCTGGTCATGGGGGAGGGTGAAGAAAAAGTCTCCCCTGGGACTTCCAGAAAAACACAGCCCTGCAACCCCCTCTGTCTGCCCAGGGAGGCCCTTTTGTCAGACATGTGAG